CAGGATCACTATAAGTCCTAACTGACTCAACTGCCCTTAACAACAACAACATATTGTAGCTGAAGATCATGAAGGTATTTTTTTTCCCCCACAATAACAGATCTTCACTAAAGGAACTAATAGTAGTCAGGTTCTTTAGACAGCTATTGCACACAGAGAGAGTGAAACAGAGCTAGACAGAGCTTCTGTCTTTCCATCTATATTCAGTACACATATCAAATCATGATTCTTAAAGATGGCTAAGGTTTTGGAACTGTGTAAGGATGAGACTTGTTTTTGTTTTTCTTTTTTTAAGGGAACAGGTCTAGAGGGGGAAACAATACACTGTTTAGGAGACAGAGCTCTGGTGTCACACAGTAAAGTATTTGGCTGTTAAAGGATGACAGTTTGAACACATTCAGGGTCTTCATGAAAGAGCTGGGAATCGCTCTCTTAAAGATTACAGGCAAGAAAATGCTATGAGGCAGTTCTACTCAGTCAAATTAGATCTCTGTGAGTTAGAACAGATTCATTAGTAATCAACAACAACAAGGGGCATCCAGTGGAAAACTTAGAATGATAAGCCTCCTACACAACTAAAACAGTTCCACACAAAAATAATTCCCTTTCCCCCCTCCACCCCTTGACAAATAAATAAATGGTACTGTTCCCTTGAGAAATGCAGTTCTTTTGATTGATATGGCGAGGACTAGTTGCCAAGTGGGCTTGACAATATAAAAACAAAAACTGGTTCGCACAATAGGTGGCAATGTGTTAAGAGCTCAGCACAGTCACTTTTCCCTAAGATTTGCTTAATGTTTAAGTAGGCTACCAAATGAGTAAGAATAATGTTGTTGTTAAGTACCATCAAGTTGGTTCCAACACATAGCAACCCTTATAGGGTTTCCAAGGAATGGTTGTTGGGTTTAAACCTCTGACTAGTGCTTATCCTACTTACTACATTAGGACTCCCAAACATAAATTAGAACTTGAACTATATTGTTGCAGTTAGAGGACAGCCATAATCACATGGACAAAACATATTTGCCAAAAAATTCTCTGTTAACAAAAGCACACCATTTTGGTCCCTCTAAGATTTACACCCTCGGAAACCCTGTACAGGGTCGCTATGGGTCGGCTCTGACTCGAAGGCACTTAACAACAACAACAACCCTTCAAATCAAGGATCTTTAGTAGCACTGGAGGATAAACATTGAACTGCTAACCACAATGTTAGCTGTTCAAACCCATCAGTCACTCCATGGAAACTCTATACAGGGTTTCTATGAGTTGGAACTAACTCAACAGCACTTAACAATCACAACAGTAGTGCAGTGTTTAAGCACCACCCAAGTGTCCAGTGATTAGAACCCACCAGTTGCTCCATAGGAGAAAGATGAGGCAGTTTGCTTCTATAGAGATTATAGCCTTGGCATTCTTAAGGGGCAGTTCATTCTATTCTGTCCTCTAAGGATGCTATGAGATGAATCAACTCCACAGCACTGACTTTGGCTTTGGTTTATCCTTCAAACATCAACTGTGCTTTAAAAATAAATAAATAAATAAACATGAAAAAACCTAATGCATGAAATTAATGTTTTATTAGAAATCAATCAATTCATTTTTTCATTCACCAAATATTAACTATATTCTATGTCCAGGTCCACGTATATAAATGTATAGTGAGTCCATTTGTAGTGCTGTAGGAGCTCTGATGTGGTACTATAGGTTCATGTGGCTGAACTGAAAGGTCCATGGTTCAAGCTCACCAGATGCTCCTCAGAAACCCTACACAAGGCCACAATGAGTCATGATTGACTTGAGGGCACTTAAAAGCAACAACAAGGCTAAGCACTAGACAGGAAGTTTGATTTGAACCTCAAGGTGGTGATTCAAACCCACAAATCACTCCTCAAAAACTTTATACAGGGTTGTTATGAGTTGGAACCTACACCTGGTGTGGCACTGTGTGGATTAATGCACTGGACTGAAAAGTCTGTTTGAGCCACAAGGTCGGCCACTCCTCGGAAACCCTATACAGGGTAGCTATGGATCAGAATTAATTCGATGGCACTTAACAACAATAACTGCAGCATTCTTTACTATTAGCAAAGAATAAAACTCCACTATTAGCAAAGCTAAAACTTTTGCCACATAGTACCAATCACTCTGATCCTTTAAAAATAAATTCAGTTGAAGTCTATTATCATATCTGTTTATTATTATTATTATTATTTTACGTGTTCATTTGTTATGCTTGGCAAGAAAAACAGCTATTCAGATAAAAAGGAAAGTACTTTGAAAAGGGGGACAATGCTAATCTTTATCTGTATTATCCAGTTAGGCTTTTCATAATTGTCCATTTTCCCAGATAATCGTTTATTTATTCTACAGCAAAACCCATGAGAGCCAGAAATTGTAAAGGACTCACAAGTTTTTCGCCTTTGGTAGGGTATAATCTTACCACTTTTCTTTCACTCTCTATTTTTGGAAAAATTTGAGATTTCCTTCTCTGGCAGGTTTCCAACTCACACAGGTTCCTGCTTTTGCAGGTTTTACAGTACTATACTTCAGTCTAGGTGAGAAAGAAAGTATCTCCACTTCATGTCCTTCCTCTTCCAGCAACCAGATCTTTTAAGAAACAGTCCTTGGTCAGTACCCCATAGGATTTATGGAAATTACAACCAGTTCACTGAAATTAGCATATACACAGATTGTTATTACAAACTGCAAAATAAGGAATCTCAGTGTATATAAAACTATATAGACAGAAAGAGAGTTGCATCCTTACTTGTCACTGCTTCTCCCTAAAGCAGGATAAATGTTTGTATATGAATGTTTGTCCTTCATTTACTGAACTTGATATGAGCTCAGTGTCCAGAGCTGTCAATGCACTCAATCAAAGCTTTGGCTGCACTACATCATAACTCAGAAAATAAATAATGAAATGATACTGGATTCATACTAAATTTATCAATCAAATGAACTGAATATTTTCCAACAAAGTTAAGCCATTTCTTTTCATGGTAAAAGTTTTAAAAGTGTGTTCCTCAGACCAACACTTCAACATCATTTGTTCTTGTTGTTGTTAAGTGTTGTAGAGTTAGTTTTAATACATAGCTACCCTAACAACAAAAACAACAACCCTTTACAGGTGTCCAAGTCTTTAAATATTTGATGGGAGTAAACATTTTCATCTTTCTCTCTGAGATTTGATTCTTATTTAATGAATCTGTCAAGTGAGCAAGAAGAATATTGTTGTTTTTGCTATTATGTGTTGTCGAGTTGTTTCCAACTTATAATGACCCTGTGTAGGGTTTATAGGAACGACTGATGAGTTTGAACTGCTTACCTTGCAATTCAAACCAACCTTGCAGTTGAGTCATTATCCTGCAATCTGAATCATGGCCAAAACCATTTGTCAAGGGTATAGATGACTATGGCACTACTACCATGAAGTATAGGAGTTCTAAGGCTGTAGATCTTTGTAAGTAAGCCTCAATTTTCTCCCAAGGAGTAGCTGGTGGCTTTGAACCTCCTACCTTGTCATTCATAGTCTAATACTTATCCTACAGAGCCACCATGATTTAAGTATGGATCATAGAATGCATTTAAAAGGTACAAAAGTATCTCTGTGATGCAGTCAGTATGTAGTGATAGAAATCCAGGGAAGAATGAACAAAAGAAAGATGGATGGAAGGAAGGAAATAAAGAAGGAAAATAAAAAAGAAGACAACAAGTAGAAAGGTCTAGATTTGCTCTGTGATCCTACTTTAATAATCAGACTTTGTGTTTCTTTCTAAATTGATAAATAGATGTTTTGGCAAAGCAAACACTGGCTTATGAAGCACACAAACACATATCTGTATATAGAAAGATATCTAAGTAATTTCTACAGAAAGTTGTCTTTTATGGTTGTTGTTTTTGTTATGTTGTATCATCAGGTCAATTCTGACTCATAACTATCCTATCAAGCAGAGTAGAATTTCCCCATAAGTTTTCCTAGGTTGAAATCTTTATTGTGAGTTCAAGCCTCTGACCTTTCAGCCAGTCGAGTGCTTAACTATTATACCACCAGAGTACCTACTTGTTGTTCGGTGCCATCGAGTCAGTACTGACTCATAGTGACCCTATGCACAACAGATCGGAACACTGCTCAATCCTGGGCCTTGGTGCCACACTTGAGCCCATCGATGCTGCCACTTTGCCAATCCATCTCATCGGGGGTCTTCCTCTTTTTCTCTGACCCTCCACCATACCAAAATGATATCCTTCTCCAGCAACTGGTCCCTCCTGACAATAAGTATGAGAGATAAAGTCTGGCCATCTCCAAGGAACACTCAAGTTCCTCTTCTTCCAACACAGATCTGTTGGTTCTTTTGGCAGCCCATGGCACTTTCAATATTCTCCTCCAACACCATAATTCAAAAGCATCAATTCTTCTACGGTCCTCCTTATTCACTGTCCAACTTTCACATGTATATGAGGTGATTGAAAATACCATGGCTTGGTCAAGCTCACCTTAGTCCTCAAGCTGACATCTTTGCTCTACAACACTTGAAAAAGGTCTTGTGCAGCAGATTTGCCTAATGAAATACATTGTTTTATTTCCTGACTGCTGCTTCTGTGAGTGTTGATAGTTGATCCAAGAAGAATGAAGTCCTGGACAACTTCAATTTTTTCTCCATTGATAAGAATGTTGTTTGTTGGTCCAGTGGTAAGGATTTTTTGTTTTCTTCACATTGAGATGAAATCAATACCCAAGGCTGTAGTCTTTGATCTTCATCAGTAAACATTGTAAGTTCTCTTTCCTTTCAGAAAGCAAGGTTTTGTCATCTGCATATTGCATATTGTTAATGAGTCTTCCTCCACTCCTGATTCCACATTTTTCTACCTTACTACATATTAAATGAATTGATTATATTTATCTTTTTTAAAGTGAATTTTAATTATAAATTTCAATTTTACATATAATACCAAAAATTTCTAACCGTATATTTTTTCATTGATTTGCTAGAAGCATGGAGCAGTGGCACAGTTTGGCAGATCAGACGGAAGCTGATAACTGTTCAGATTCGGTGAAATTTGATGCTCGCTCAATGACAACTTTGATTCCTCAGAGTAAGTAGAGACGGTAAAGAGTGGTCATGGAAATTGTTCTTAGAGTTACAGACATTATGTAAAATTATAGTCTTGAGACTCTTCTTTAATGTGTATGAACATTAACATAATAGTTCTCTGATAAGTAGGTGTTTTCCTTTCTTGAGTCAGAAAAGAAAAGCTTAAATCACGTTAAGGAACTATTGCATTAGAATGAATTGATGCACAATAGATTAACATCTCTGATTCTCCCATCTTGTCCCAGAAACGACTATGACCCTACTACTGTGAAGTAATTTTTTGAAAATTGTAGGTAGTAGGTACTGAAACTAGTTTGTACAGATTACAATAAGAAATCAAAAAAGCACTGTTTAGCTGTAGCTGTTTATCTCTTCACTTATTTCCCTTTCAATCCCACATAGAATATTACTGAAAAAGGTTTAAATTTTTGTTTAGGAGTCTGCAATCAGTAGTCAAATTTTTCTTCTTAATCATTTTTTAGTTGAACAATAAAGGCAAAAATCTTAGGAAAGATTTTTGAATGGATGCTTTATTTGCCAAGTCAAATAAATGTCTTCCTCATCTCTTAAGCTCCTAGTTTATATTGATTTATTTCTACCACATTTAGCATCCCATTACATGAATGATTCTTCCACATAAATGCATAATGCTCAAAGGTTATTGTTATGAATATGTCTGGAAAGAACTAAAGGATAGGTTTCAGGGATCCATTCCAAAGTTTGGTCAAAGTGAGAATGTTTGCAAAATTCATAATTATATTACTTGAAGAATTTTATCTTAACCTAGAGCCAGTGCTTTAGACAGTGCTTTCTGTCTAACAGTGGGTTGGGCTTTTTTTTTTTTTTTAGATCCTAAAAATGGCCCTGCTCTTCAAAAGAAACTGAAGGTTTTCAAAGTTGCATTGATTGTTCTGTATCTCCTTGTGTTTGCACTTCTCATACTTGTCATCGGAATAGTGGCAGGTACAGTATTCTAGAGTTCTGAAACTGAACACTTTACCATAAGCAAAAAATAAACTGCTTCTAGCAAATAGTAGATTAATAAGGAAGACTTTATATTCCAAAATGTTCACCAAATCTATTAAATCATAAAAAAATAAATTCTGAAAATTTATAAAGTAGAAAAGGCAGACTGTTTAAAAAGTAAAATTCTACCAAAATATTTTTTTCTTTTTTTACCTAGCTCTAGCAGTATGAAACAAAATGTGTTGGGGATGTGTTTGATTAAGTGGATGGATGAATAGACATCTGCATATCTCTATAATGTATGAAAATGTCAATGAAGGGACAAGATTTCATATATATTTATAATACAGTTGTTTTCAGAAGTAAAATTGTTGTTGTTGTTGTTATGTGCTGTGGAGTCGGTTCCGACTCATAGCGACCCTGTACAGGGTTTCCAAGGCTGTAAATCTTTACAGGAGCAGAAAGTCTCATCTTTCTCTAGTGGAACAGCTGGTAGTTTTGAACTGTTGACCTTGCGGTTCGCAGCCTGCTTTGTAACCACTACTATAATACAGTTGTTTTTAGAAGTAAAATAGCTAAGGTAAAATGATCTAAAATCAAATAAATCCTTAAACATCTCCCCATTTTGGGCATATTTTATCATTATTTTTGTCTATTTCATATTACCTTGTAGTCAAATATTAAAAATTATCCTACTATAGAACTATGGAGATGGAACTGGCACAGAAAATTATTTTTGCATAACAGGCATTACTAATAAATATTTGTCTGCTTAGCTCTGATCTTTTTGTTGACATTATAATTTAGAGTGTTGTTGTTGTTATCAAGTGCCATCAAATCAATTCCAAATTATAGCAACACTGTATAGGATTTCCAAGGAACAAGTGGCCGCTTTAAATAATATCATTGCTAATTGTGGATTTAATCTTGCTCTGAAATATCAGAATAACATATTACTATTACTAAATAAGTACAATACAAAAAAAAAATCTTACATTTTAGTCATCAGCATTATTTCATTTGTTTATTTCAAAACTTTTTCTTATGAATCAAGTGAAAGTTTGCTGGATAGATCACTTTGCCACTCAACAATTTAGTCATATTTGTTTCATGTCAGTGATTGCAAGCCCTTATAAAGTACAGTGATTTATCTCACTTCCTCCCTATGTTTGAAATTTTAATTCCTCCTTCTTGCTTAACCTTTTTTACCTTCTGTGTTCTTGGACAAACGCTGACCTTTTGATCTCAAAAGGTTGATTATTCTAAGTAGTATATACCTTACCTTGTAGTGGTGGTAATTATGTGCTGTAGAGTCAGTTCCAACTCATAGAAAACAGGGTTCCTGAGGTTGTAAATCATTATGGGAGCAGAAAACCTCATCTTGCTCCCACAGAACAGCTGGTAGTTTTGAACTGCTGACCCTGAGGTTAGCAGCCCGATTCAAAACCACTATGCTACCAGAGCTCCTTACGTAGTATTTGGCTGACAATTGACCAAAGGGAATGAGTTCACTTCTAGACCTGAGGGGTGACTGAGGATCAGAGCCTCAAGTGGTTCTATCAAGCTCTCTCCTGTCTGACCAGTAAGTATACATATTTTTTTGGTTTTGAGTTTTCTTAAATTTTTCTCCTACTCTATCCAGAGCCTTCTAACGTGATCCCTTTGATAGGAGTTTATAGTGATTGCCAGGTGCTAAAAGAGCTCTGGTAGCATAGTGATTACGAATCGGGCTGCAAACCTTAAGGTCAGTGGTTCGAAACTACCAGCTGCTCCACGGGAGAAAGATGAGGCTTTCTACTCCCATAAAGATTTACACCCTCGGAACCGACTCGACGGCACTTAACAACAACAACAACAATCTAGCTTTAGCCTCAGGGTCATGGAGGCTGAGGCTCCCATGATCCATTAGTCCATTGGATTGATTGTTTTCATATCTTGGATTTGGTTCACTCTTCTTTACTCTGGGTGAGGAGAGAACAATAGTTGCACCTTAGGTGGCCACTCACAAACCACATCGTTTTGTGGGCTGTGTTGTGCAGATTGACATGATGCCTCAGGACACTATGGTCCTGAGCCTTCAGGCACAGTGACTTATTCCCTCAAGGTGTTTGGCTATGACTAAGATGTTTTCATAAGTTTGCCTTCCTGGTATGGTGCCATAGGGTATGCTCTTGACCTCAAGGTTGGTTTGAACCCCTAGGTCCACAGTTCATATTCACTTGACACTCCTCAGAAACCCTACACAGGGTTGCTATGAGTCAGAATCGACTCAATGGCACTTAACAATAACATTGTTTGCTAGGAAGGACGGTAGCTCTGTAGGATATATATTGTACTGCAAACCACTAAGTCTGTGGTTTCAGCCCATCATAATAGCTACATGGGTGATAAGGCTTTCTGCTCCTGCAAAGATGAAACCAAGAAGCTCAGAAATCAAGGAGTCCTAGTGTGGTGTTGCAGGATAATAAGCTGGACCCCAAGGTCTGTTTGAACCGCAAGGTCAATGGTTCAAATCCATCAGCCACTCCTCAGAAATCCTATTTTGTTGTTGTTGTGAAGTGCTGTAGAGTCAGTTCTGACCCATAGTGACCCTGTATAGGGTTTCTGAGGCACAGCTGGTGAGCTTGAACCACTGACCTTGTGGTTCAAATTGACCTTGCAGTCCAGTGCATTAACCCACAGAACCACACCAGGACTACCTATACAGGGTTGCTATTGTTCAGAACTGACTTGAGGACACTTAGCAAAAAAAAAAATATTCATTT